TCCTCCCCCCCCCCCCCCCCCCCCCCGCCGCACTGCCCGCGCAACTTGCACGGTACTGCAAAACCCCGACAGGGGTTGCGAGCGACGGACGTGGAAGGCATACGCGCGATGGGGGTTAGCCTTCCGAGGGTGGCATCCCTCATCAGCGAAGCCTTCTGCGAGCAGGTTAGGCCTTTTGCCAAACAACCGTCTCATCAGAAAGTTGATCAAAAGGCGCGGGGGACACACGACAGCAAGGGAGCGTCAGATTTTTCACCTCAGCCGCGGTAAAGAAGACTGGTGCTCTCGCTTGTTTTTTTGTCTCCGTGGCGACGTTACTGTTTCCAGCGCAAGTTTTTACCCCCCCTTGGCACAGCAAACCCACGAATAGTGCCTGCTTGGTTCATCCTTGTGAAACTTAGCCTGGGCCAGCGAAAACCCTGCATTCCGCTTCGTCCCGGCACTGTAGGGGTGCGAGGTCAATGGTCTAACGACTACGGCATTGCACGACTTTGAGTACGCCCACCCCCCCTGTCCTCATCAGATGTTTCGCCATGGCTCGGTCCACTGCGACCCTCACGGCGCGAACGTTCTGGTGAGACCGCACCCGGACGCAAGGCGGGGGTCAGGGCACCCGCAGCTGGTACTGCTCGATCACGGGCTGTACAGGGAGCTGACGGAGAAGTTCAGGGTGGACCACTGCAGGCTGTGGAAGGCGATGGTATTCAAGGATATTCCAGGTGGGACAACGCGAAGGGGAGAGGGGGGGGAGGGGGGGGGGGGGGAGGCTGTTTTTCGCTTGCCTCAGCCTCGTGGGACTCTGTATCTGACTTTTTCGTCTTCAAACGATTGGGCGAAGCAATACCGAACCCTTCTGTCCCGGTGGGGTCGAGTCGCTCTCCTTAAGCCCTTCGCTCGTCGAGCGGTACCTTTATCGTACGCGAGTTTTCGCCTGTGTGCTTGCTCAGCTGCACTCTTCGTCATGGTTCGGGGACTTTTTTTCCCTTCCATCCGGTTGTGCCGGCAGCACCATCGAGAGTCGACATGGCACGGTGCCGCGCAGCAGTAGTAGTCGTCCTTCAAAAATGCAAACCTTCTTGTGACACTCGCTTGAACTGCCGCAGCTACATGCGTAGGTGCCATGGCAGGTACCTGCCACGGAAAAACGTCGAGGAAAGGCAAGCGAGTGCAATTCAACACAAACCTCCATCTACGTACGGGACGAACAAAAGTATCCGTACCCCGGTTGGATGATGCGCATCTATGTGTGTGTGGCAGTACTGTAGCATCCATAAAGAATTGGCGTGCGTCCACGTGTCAATATGTTTTGATACGGCAGGGGTGAAGGAATACTGCCAGCGGCTCAACTCCGGCGACATGTACCACCTGCTGGCGGCTATCTTGTGCGGCAGGTCGTGGGACGCAATCGAGGACACGTGCGTATGTGGTGGTCGGTCGTCGTGCCAAACGGACTTTTTTTTTTTTGTCGTTTGCCCGCCTTGAGAGTATCCGCGGATGTTGCCGGTGTGCTTTCGTGGATGCGGGCGCGCACACTCGTGCCCGTGCCGCCGAAGAAGCTCCCTTTGTTCTGTTGTGGTGTTGTGCGTAGGTCGTAAGGGGGAAAGGCAGGTATATCTTGTCTCGTCGCGTGCCTCTGGGTTGGATGCATTCTGCAGTGTTTGTAGTAGTCCGTGACTGCTGCTGCTTCTGTGTCCGCCATTAGATCGCGGGCGGGCTTATCGTGTGCCTGATTGTCCTGTCTAGTTGCCCCCATGTGCAGACTGCCCGTGTCATCTTGCTTGCTCGTCTGCTGGTCTGTTCGCCGCTGGCGCGCCTTTGCCTGCTCTGCCTAGCCTTGAGAAACAGCTGGGAGCGTTCGCAGCAGCTTTGGGGAAGGGTGTCAATAACACTTGCTCTCGAACCTCTTCTCCCCTCTCTTGCAGTATACCGCGGGGTCTCCGTTCGTTGTTAACGCCCTAGTGCCCCCCCCCCCCCCCCCCCCCCCCCCCCCCCCCCCCCCCCCCCCCCCCCCCCCCCCCCCCCCC